CTTCCCTTACACTGAGGCATCCTGGATTTGTTTCACCTGCAGACGGCTGGAGCTGCCTGCATGGGATGCCAGCTCCTTGGACTCCTCAGCGGCACGAGCATTCGCTCCTTCTTTCCGTCTCGGGCCCTCCTTTGTGCACAGAGGTTTCTTCTTCCACCATTTAATTCATTTCTCTCTTGTTCTGCCCTTCCCACAACCATTTTGCTGCCTTGCTTCTTTCACAGCTTGCTGCCAAACCTGGCAGGCGAGTGAGTCATGGGCTGCTGCAGGCCAGGCCCTGGCGGACACAGGCTTCTTCCTAGGGTCATGAATCTCCCATCTGGGAAGCTCTAAAGAACTGCAGTGAGAAATAACTACCACCGCAGAATGCTTTCCTCCATAGCCATTTTTCAGCTTTTCCATTGTCTGCACTTGACTGGTTCATTTAACATGTGCGTTACTGGGGTTTTTTTCCCCCTCTACATTTCCTTTTCCAGCAGCAAATGTCACCAACTCACATCCAACTTTGGCTCAGAAAACTTGCAGGTCCATTTGTTGTTCCAAAACCAGGCAAGTGTGCTCCTTCGACGCTGGATATACAGAGCTGTTTTCTGGAGCCTGTTTAAGTTAAAATCCCATTCCGAACACTCGACCAATTCTCAGTAATGCAATATTGATGCTGGGCAGCTCTCCAGGTTGTTGGATCTCTTGGAGTCTGATTTGGATACTGCAGCAGGCTGCGGTCTAGAAGAGGGCAGGATGACAGGGACATCTTCCTCTGTGCAAGGCAAGGATGGGAATTGCATAGGTATGCAGTGGAAGAGAGAGGACCCTATAGTTTGACAGGCAGGTGACAGGAGAGGGTCAGTGCAGAGACTGTCACCTTCCCTCATCACTCACACCTCCCGTGTATGTTAACACAAGCCCCTTTCAGCTGTCCTGGATTTGAAATAGTCTAAACAATGAGGATTTTGCCCTAATCCCCAGGAGAAGTGCTCCTCCACCATAGAAAGGCTCCCTTTATTCCTGGTGCACAGGAAGTTAATAGCATTCCTAAGCACTCTCGCAGATATGAGCAGTATGCTGTAGATAAGTTATATCAGAAGAAAGTGTTATCGCTTGAGCTTACATATTTTGTGCTTACCCATTGGACTCTAAAAAGCTTTTGCATTTAATTACCCGTTTCTCAAAGCATTTATTAATAATTTATTAGCTCTTTGTTCGTTTGCTGGAGATGGAAGCTGACATATAAAGTGAGCCCAGTCATTTTATAACCAAGCACATCTCAGGAGGCGGAAAGCACTGGGTGATAGGAAAAGCCTTACTCATCTTGGCACACGGTGGTACAGCCTTAGCTGGGGCCATTGGATGCTACAGGCACTTTAAGCTGCCCCATCACCTGAGCCATCTGGGGCACTGAATGGATGAGGTGGCAGGCTGCACATTGGACTGGAGATGTCTGACCTTAGCACTGTCAAGCCTCATGCTTCATCCTACATGGCCGTGGACATTTCCCTGTGCTCCCCAGCACGCAGTGTGGGGCTCCAAGCTCACAACACTGCAGCCTTCCCTCTGCTGCTCCCATCAGCTAATGGAGCAGGGGGACAATCACGGGGCAGAGAACATGCCCCCCAGCAGAATGGTGTGCTTAGGGGAGTCTAACAAAAAGCCTCTCTTTGGTTGCAGGTGTAAGTGTGGTCCAGGGCAAACATCTCTCACACTTCATCCCTTCCCATCTACCTGCTCTCAAACACAAACCCATCCCAAAGGAGCATCAGAGGAGAGCCCTCAGTGTTCAGTATTACTGACCACAAGTCCTGGGAGCAGAGAGCTTCAGGAAACAGCAAAGTATCTTCCTTGCTGGAAAGACAAGGAAAAGAGTGGTTTCCTCAAAGACTTCCAGGCCCTGCCAGGGAATTGGGGTGAAATCTTCCCTGGGTGTTGCAGTGATTGCTACCAGGAAATACAGAACCCTTTATTTCCTTAGGGAGCGACATCCCACTTCTCCCCTGCTGTCCTCTGCAGGGCCAGCAGCACAGCAAGCAGCAAAACACAGCCACTGCCCAAGAAACTGCCTGAGAAATGAGTGTCTCTATTCTGCATCATAAGAAGATATTACAAGGCCCAGCATCATCCCAACCAGCTTGAGACATCTTAATGAGGCACCTAATTTAGGCAGGTGTTTCTCTTTTGCTCTAGTCAATGGAGTAAGGAAGCTTTGAGACCAGAAGCAGAGGTAAGGTTTTATAAATGCTGTTGCTTTATTTCTCCCCCTCCTCCTAAAAGCAATCAGAGCCCACCTGAGCTTTAAATTGCTTTTCAGGCTTTCCTAATGAATGTTTCTCCGAACATTTGCATCGCTTCTGTTTGCCCTCAATACAAAAGCTTACGCCAAGAAGTTTGTATTTGATGTGTAAAGAATGCCAGAGCAACACATTATTGCAGATCCTCAGGCCTCTGACTCCATGTCTTGTCCTCCAGATGTGACGTGCCAGAGACATCACCCAAGCAGGCTGCAAGGCGCAGGCTAAGGATGGAAATCGAAATCATCTGGAGGAAAAACCATCTAGAACTTTATCCTGTACCTCTGTTTAGCCCACAAACCATCAGAAGCTGGTGAAATAATTGCTTTGGACAGATAATAAAACATCCTCCAGCGAAACTAAGGTACTTAATATACTGCCCAAGTCAATTTCCCTTATTTCTGCTGTCCTCTTGCTTTTAATAATGGTTTAATGAAAAATTCACAATTAATTGGAGCTGGCATTAGACATTCACGTGTTCCAGCGAGGGCTTCGCTGCTTCAATATTTCATAAGCTGACTTCACTGCCGTGCTTCTCCTTATCCTGGCTTTCACAGGCTAGAGTATAATCTGTTCATAAAACGAAGGCTCCCAGGTTGGGTGGATGGGGCTGCGTGAGAAAAGCGTGCAACCACAGCGGGGCAAAGCAATGCAAAGCCAAGCCGTGTGTTTTCTTTCGGCCGCCATCCCCCTTTCCCATGTCCCGATGCACATCTGAGCTGGCCTAAAAATAACCAGGAGCTGTCGGCAAGGTGTCTGAGGGAGGTATGTGGCAGCTGTCAGGCTGCTGTGTGTGCTGGAAGGATGGAGCTGGTGGACTCGTTGACACCAGACGGACTCTGCTGCAATGAGAATGCCTTATGCTTCCCTTGGCACTCAGCGGGCAAAGTCTGGTGGCCAGAGCCAACAGGTCAGACCTCGGTGTGTCTGGGGCCTGATCCAGTTCTGGCTGCCATCAATGAGAGTCTGCCCTTGGATGGCAGTGGGCATTGGATCAGTCTCTTTACCCCCCTAGGACTCTGGCTTTACACCGGGGTGATTCGTGGTTCCCCAAGTGAATGTCACCCCAACGGAGAAGGATGCACCAGGCCCCAGGTCTCTGAAAGTCAGAGCCATCACTGAGATCCCTACATAAGGGCATCAGAGCCTAACTTTTGACACTTCTTTGCAATAACAGCTTTGCACCGCTCTGTGCCTCAGTTTCCCCTTGTCTAATGGTGTGTGTGTGTGTGTGTTCACCATTATCAACATAGCCATAGATCCAGGCATTTTTAAATGCTCCCAGACCGTGACTGGGCTAAAAGCTCTTCCTGTTTCCCACAAGGCACTTAATGGACACGTGTTACACCATGCAGCAGCCATGAGATGAGCAAACAGAAGCACGAAGGCATGCCCTGACTCATGTCAAACCTTCGCAGCAACTCAGCAGCAGAGGGAGGACCCCAGCATCCCAGACCCCAGCCGAACATCCCTACCTTTACAGCAGCTCCATCTGGAAACAAAATGTTGCTAGCAGAAGCTTCAGTCCTTCTCCGTGCACGGGGGGGATCTCCATTGCCTGCGGGGTAGCTGAAGATACTGTTCTTGGCAAAGACGTAGTGTGCTGGGTAGGGAGAAAGAAGAGAGGTGTGAAGATGCGGTGGAAACCTTGTTTTCAATGGAGGAGTGGACCCCTCTCTTGTTCTCAATAGGAGCTGCCTGCTGCCGTATCTGAAAATCTGACTCTTTTGTTATCTAATGGGCAAGAGCAGCCCCTTTTTAGCGAAGAGCAGGCTCTGAAGTCAACTCTCTTGCAGTGCTTTGGTCTAAAGGACGAGGGAATTAACTCCTGTAATACGGGCTGTAGGAAATTACCTACAAGATAAGAGGGTGACTTGATCTTTTTGAGAAAAAGACAGAAAAATGAGACAAGAGACTTCCTTATCTTGAGGATGTTTGCTCTGAAGCATCGTCTGGTGACTGCCTGAGTCTGCCTTGCAGAACCAGTCCATCACAACCGGCTCCTGTGGCCGGCATCGCTCACTTCCTTTCGTTTGGAGGTACTGGATTTACAAAAGCATCCCTTGTCCCTCTCAGTGTTCTGGGGCTTCTGTTGCTTCCTGGTTGCCTCCAGTAGCCTGCAGCCCTGTGATGCTGATCCTGCTCACATGGCAGAACAGGATGTGATCAGCCCTTCAATTAGGCAGAGATCTGAAAAGAAGAGGAAATCAAGATGATGAGGAGCACGTGTGAGTCAATATGAGATATCTAATGGCATTATGAGCAATGAATGAGTCCTACTACCACTTTTGGAGGGTCCCAGCCTGTTTACCTTCAGTAACTACACACATCTTCTAAGGGGAAACTGCTGCACTAATGAGGGGTGTTCACACCAACCAGGCTCTGTGTCTCCTTCGGGGTGCCCTGGCTCTCATCCCTGAGGAATTTTTCACTATGCAGACTACTTTCCTTCATTAAAATGGCCATGTTAAATAGCTGTGAGGTTCCTCCACGCCTCCTTTGTGGAGCTGATCTACTCCACAGCTGGCAGCGCTTTAGAGAAGGAAACAGGAGGTTACTAAACCCATTCATTTCTCACATGCACCCACGTTTCGGGTGGCTGTGGAGATCCAGCTTTAAAGTCCTCTGAGAGCCATTGGAACGAAGAGCACTCTGTGAAGACATTATAATTACGATGGGATTTTGGGGTGTGTGGAAATGAGTCATGGGGACGTTTCCCAGCCAGCAGGCTCTCGGAGCCAGGTGAGCTCTTCCCTGGAATGCGAAGCATGCGGCGCGGCAACTGGGAGGAACAGGTTTGGCAGGAGACTTGAAGCTCTTCACAGCAGACAGCCTCTTCAGAGCCACATCCCTGCTTTACCCACCTCCCAGCCCGATGCTCCTCTCTGCCACACTGGCCCTGGTGAGCCGGAGAGGATGGACACGCTGCGGAGGAGCCTTTCCCGCTGGAAGAGGTACCACATTAAGGTGCACCTGGCCGATGAGGACCTGATGATGCCCCTGACGGTCAAGCCCAGGGACACGGTGATGGACCTGCGGGCTCACTTGGTGCGGGAGGGCGTCACTTCCTGGAAGAAGACGTTTTATTACAACTCCAGGCAGCTCGAGGAGCACGAGACTCTCAAAGAAGCCAATATCCAGAATGGCTCCGTCCTGCTTCTTGTCAGCAATAAAAGGTAGGCAAGGAGCTCCTCTGCAGCAGGGGCGGTGCAAAGGAAGGGGAATGCTCTGTGTGTCTGAGCCGCTCGGGACTCTTTCCTGTTGGGGTTTGCAGAAAGCAGATCAGGAACTCAAACCCTGCCGTTGCCAGCAGGTGGATTGAGATTCACAGCTCTTTATATCCGGACATGCTGTGGTGTGAAATAAAGGGGTAAGAGGAGGAGGAAGTCTGGTGGTGCCGCCTGTCCTGTCTCCGATCAGGACTCACTTTCTACTACGTGGCCAAGCACAGAGGGAAAGCCAAGAGGTGCAAAAGGGCAAAGGAGGTTGTGTGACACGGTGGAGTGCTCTGGAAGCCTCTCCCTTGGCCTTGTTCTGTGGTGTTGAGCCTGGCTCCATCCATTTCTTCCTAGCAGATGCTTCCTGTGAGTACTGTGGGGTGTCCCAGTCCTGCTTTGCCGGGGAAGAGCCATGAGTGCCGGCTTACAGAGAGTGCTGGACAGGGGCAGCAAGAGGCTGCAGCATCCCAAAAGTGGCCAGGGTGAGGCTGGAAACTTCCAGGAGATCCAGTGCAAAGGAGATCAGTAAATCAGGGCAAGCCTTGTGCTCCAGGGGGGATGAAAGCTGAATTGATGGAGCTGAGATGCGCTGGCCCACAGGACCAGTTAAGATTCAGTGGGGTGGATGCCTACCTGTGCTGTCTTCCCTATTGCCTGGCTGTTGCTGCCAGCATGATTAATCCTGTGAAGCATTTTGGGGATCCTGGGTAGAAGAGGTGCACAGCAGAGCATGGGTGTGTTGTGTCTAATTCAGCTTTCTGAATCCTGAGCCCTCTGAGTTATGTGTCTCTGCTGATCAGTTTCCTCTGCAGAAAAACCCGCCGCAGACTTGAGTTCCTGATTATATGCCATGTACTGGAATGGTCCTATTTTCCAGTCCAGAGGCAGCTTGAAACCTCACACAAAGAAGATTTAATAAAGCATTTCCTTTCAGAGCTCAGCCAGACACAAGAGATTTCACACCGCTCAGCTCACTGCAAACCCCAAGTCACCCGTGACCCCTTTCTCCAACAACTCATTTCAGCCCTCTGATTAACTTGGCTCAGCTCCTCCTTTTCACCTTGTTTTTAATAGCAGGAGCATTTCTATTTGTTGTTGTTTCCACTGTTTACTTTCCTAAATCTTGCAGCCTGATTTTTGAGAGTACGAAAGGATTTGGAGGGACTCAGTTGATGAAAGGCACAGATTGATGCTCTTCTGACAGACGCACCTTCCCACTTGCTGTCATTGTATCATGGTCCCCATGATATGTCTGAGACACGCTTGCATGTGGCTTGGCAGTCATCATCCTGCTTGGTACCTAGTCCTGGGCTGAGCACAGCCCCTGTGACAGCACCCCATCACATCCTCAGCATGCAGGGGGCTGGTTTTGGAGGGCTCACCCTACCACTTAAACTGGGAGTTAGGAAACACAGAGGTGGAAGGTGGTGTGTGCTGCATTGCAACTGAGATTGCAGCTGAGATTGCAGCACCATTTTGAGCCTTAGCATTATTCAGCCAGATCCTTAGGTATTATAAATCCACATTGCTCCAAGTGTATCTGTGGAGCACACTGGTCTGTATCAGCTGGGCAACAGTGTGCAAACTTGGGGAATACAAAGGGAGTAGCCAGTCGGGACTGCTTAGGAGCCATAGGAGCACAGAGGGATAGAAAACACAGTGCTGGGTTTGCCCAGCAGCCCTGAGGATTTAAGTTGGTTTTAGTACTTGACCAACTCAGTGAAGTATGGACGCTCTCCATCAAAGGTCAGCATCTGCTTCTTAAGTTCTCCCTGAATACCTTGGTGGCTCCTACTTACTCTTTTGTACCAAGACGCCAGCCAAGTAGAGCTGTATTAATTCCAGAAGTGGAGTTGCTCTGATGGCCAAGGTCTGCAGCTCAGTGTCGTGCCTATAAATATTAATGGTCACTCCTCATGCTGTGTGTTCCTACAAGGGGCTTGTGGGACAGTTTACTTTGAAGCAGAGAAAACATAAAAATGACCTTATTTTCCATCCCTCCGTTCCTCCAATGCCTTTATAGATAATTGGCATTTAGCAAAGGCCAAGTCAGCATTTCCACTCCTCATTTGTGTTTTCGGGGGTTTATAACTTAGTAATAAAAATTCACTTAAGGCTGCAGCTTGGCAGGAACGGGACCCACATCCCAGCTAAGGCTGACTATTTATTAGGACCTTAGCATTTAAAAGTTCAAGCAAGCCACTTTGGTGTTCAGTCAACGTGACCTCTCACCCTGGGAGAACACGCAGGCAGGCCAGACCTGGGAATATTGCATCCACTGAGGATGCAAATCCCCCTTGTGCAGAGCCTGGTTAATCGCATTGCTGCTGCACTGATTCGAGATTGCAAACCTGTTGCAGGAGAAGCTGAGCAAAGAACATGCTGCAGAACAGCTTCTAGCCCTAGAGAGCTACATATTACAATGACATGGTTGTAAGTGGGTAAAACAAGCAAAGCAAGACTTGAAATGTGGAGGAACAAGCAGAGAGAGCAACCCCTCAGCGCGGTGGGCTTGGACCAGCTCTGATGTTCACACCATTGGTGCCCAGTGCAAGGAAGGGGACCACTGGTGAGGCTCACCATGAGAACTGGAAAGGGTTGCCCAGGGAGGCTGTGAATGCTCCATCCCTGGCGGTGTTCAAGACCAGGTTGGACGAAGCCTTGGGTGAGATGGTTTAGTGTGAGGTGTCCCTGGCCACGGCAGGGGGGTTGGAACTGGATGATCTTAAGGTCCTTTCCAACCCTAACTATTGATTCTCTGATTCTAAGAGCGGCCACCCTGCAGAGATGCAGGAGCATCCAGGAGGACACGCAGCAGGCTCTCCCAAATGCTGCCACTCTGGACCACGCCACGGCAGAACCTGTTTGGCTCGCTCTGGAGGTGGTGCAGGGCCCCAGAGCCACGGAGCTGCTGGGCTGGTCTGGTGGTGATGTGGGAGCTCCTGAAACTCACCTGGCTCTTCCCCAGTCCTGGCTGCGAGCTGGGGAGCACCAACCAAAGGGGCCTCCCTGCAGGCACCCAGCAGCAGCGCTGGAGAGCGGGTGGGTGGCATCAGCTCCTCCTTGTCAATAATCCCTTGGCTGTGTTTTGATGCTCAGTGTTAGGGGGACGGATGCTGGTGAATCCATCGCTTAACCCATGAGCAGAGGATGTAAATGGGAGACCCAAGAGCAATTCCTAGTCATGCTGTGTGCCTGTCACTGGCTGCTCCTAAGGACGTACAGCTCCAGCTGGATTTGGACGTGGTATAAGCACAAGCACATCAGCAGAGCCGTTGCACTTGTTTCAGGCTCCTTTCTTGTGCACTCACCTCGAGCAGTCAGACAAGGTCTGTAGCAATAAACCGGTGCCTGGGCCGCTCTCTGTTACGGTGCTGGAGTACTGCACTGCACTTCTGGCCCAGTCCAGATGCATTTCAGGAGCTACCATGCTCCTTGTGGGCCAAGACACTGGCCACTCACATGCTACAGCACATGGGATGCCCTCAGTCTTTTGGAAGCCGGGGTTCATTGGAGCCAAGCAGCTACTGTTGTCACATATGGCTTTCCCAGAGAATGGAGTTCAGCAAGTCATTGGTGAATAGGTTAAATAAAGTAGATGGCAGCAGTGGGTTTAGCAGAAGTCTATTATCTAGAATCTATTGGTGTTGATTTTCTGCCCTGGAGCCACCTGAAAACATCTCTCTCAGGGCACTACCTCAGTTACCATAACAACTCATCTAGGAACAGCTCCTGACAGCTCCAAGAGCAGACCAAGGCCCCCTGTGCTATCTGGGCCACTCTGAGGCCAAGATAAGCCTCTCCAGGATGCACCCTCCTTGGCCACCCAGCCGCAGTGTGGCACTGGGTGCTGGTGCTTGTACAAGCTTTAATACACTCAGGACCCCGTTTTATCCTTCAGAGGCTACGCAGCCTAGCTCTCCTTCCATTCAAGGGGCTACCTGCCGACAGAGCAGCAAACCCATCCATCTTTGGGAACCCAGCTAATTCCCTTATTGGCATTCAGTTTCCAGTCTCTGATTTTGGCCTCATAAATGAAAGCTGTGACTGAGCCACTTGCGTAAGGTCCGGTTTAGCTCCTGCTAAGAAACTGCTTTCTGCATTTGACTCCTGTGATGACACAAGGGTTAATGCTTGACACAGACACTTGGCAGTGGCTCACTCCAGGCTTATATTACTCCACTCTGCTGTCACCCCTTCTCACTCTCACTGGGCTTGCCTGAGAAGCAGTCACCAAGCACAGCAGATGATGTGGGATCTCTAGAGACCAGACCAGTAATGGGATCTGCACAGTTTGACCCTGAAAGCCAACGTTACAGCCCAGGCAGGGATTAAGCCCCTTGCACTGGGTTTCAGTGTGGTTCTGTGCTGCCTGCTCCTTGCACTGACCTTGCAGCTCCTGGGGTTGCTCAGCAATTATTCCTCAACATGGAAGGGAGATTTCTTTGCTCCCATCCAACTACTACAGACTTGCCCTGTTAAGCGTAGGCCTAGCAGCAGGCTCCAGGACACCTCACAGTGGGATAATGATCCTTTAAAGAGCACTGGGAGTCTCTTTTCCCAGGGAGAACTAATTAAGTCCCTCCCTACATGCTTAGACATATGTCAACCTGGTGTGGCTTTAGCAGGCTCCTTCCGTCTACTGGGTAAATAACACTGACTTTAAAAGCATCCTCTTTGAGATGCGTTACTTAGGCAACAGCCAGGTAGGGGACTGCCTGCATCTCTGTGGCTGAACGTAGTTTCCATGCATATTACTCACAGGCCAAGCTCTCTGCTGCTGTAAACTCCTTGAAATCAGTTAAGTGATTGTGGAGTTCTGGAAGCACCAGTGCAGTTACTCCGCAGAGCTCCTGCAGCGTGCAGGCCAGGAAATGACGCCTGTGTTTAGCTCAGTTATTTACTGCTCAGCCCAAGAAGCTCATGTAACAACAGCAGAGCATCACGTCGGCAGAGAACATGGTCTGTAGGATCGGAATTCCTCCCCTGTGCAGTTGCATGGGATTGCAGTAGATAAAACTGAGCTAATATGTCCCATGGGGCGGGGGGGATGATGTGTGTGTGTGTGTGTGTGTGTGTTGTCTTGGCTCTAGGCAAAGAATTAATGAATGGAAAAGTACATCCTAAACTAGATTCTTTCCTGGAGTGATGTGGCACAGCTTCCTGTCGTGCTGATTTCTACCAGTGGGGAGTTTGCCTGCTTGGGAGAGATACCCTCTCCTGGGCCCTGGTGATTGATGGGCAGATGTGCCCTAGGCTGGGTTCACAGCAAACCCTTGACTGTTACAGCCCCCTGACCTTCCAAGTGAGGAGGGAAGTGATGGGATACGAATCCTGTTCTGGGTCTTGCAGAAAACCCAACCAGTGGCTGGCATCAGCCTAAGTAGACCCGTAGCATCCTTCGCTAGGGCCTGACAAAACCCCCACCTCATAGACTGTGAACCTAAGCCCTGATGACACATTTGCAGCACAGGCTCAGTTTCTTGTCTGCATAATTGCAAGGAGCAATCAATTCCCAGGAGTCAGAAGACCCAGCCCTGCACTTTCTGGCTCGGCTGGGTGGGGAGGCTGCCGGGAGAGCTGCTGCCTACAGGCCACCAGTAGCTTGGTTGCAGTCCAAGGCATGATATGAGCTCTCTAAGCAAATGCTAGCCCTGAAGAGGTACCCCCAGAAACGTTCAAGAGCTTCAGCCTGTGTTCTGCAGACTGCAGGGGGTAACCCTAGATGGTTTCTAAGGGTCTTCAGGTAAGTAAGTAATCCTGCTGCTGGTCAGCTTTAGTCTTCTGTGCAAGGTCTGTAGTCCTGTTACAGAATGTTTTGGAACCATAACCCCAGAAACCCATGGTTTAAGTGCTAATGCATGGGGGTGAATGTACCTGGAGTAATTCAAGCTCTGTCTCACTGCAAACATCCTCAAAGTGCTGCTAAAGCTAGAGGCTGCCCCTATTCTAAGATGCAAAACGGATTTCCAAGAACATGAGCTGCAGAGGGAGAGCCTTGCTTATGGGAGGAAGGTCTCCAGACAGTTGCAGGTTATCTGAAGGAGGGTGAAGGCGTCTTTTGCAGGAGGATAAACAGGTCTGGAACCCTGCAGGGAGCTCTGTAGTGTGACTGGAAAAACACTCAAGAGGATCAGGTTTATCCTCTCCCCATGCCAGGCTCAGTGCCTCTGTAGCGAAATGCCGTTTCTGATTGCATGTCTACGGTGCTCCAAGCGTTTGCCTCTTTCTTACCCAGATAATGCCAAAGAGCACAGCCAAAGCCATGAGAGCTGGGGAGCGTGACAAGGGCTGAAGGGAAGCAGATGGAAGAGAGCTTGGCCACGGAAAGGCAGCCCCAGCACCGGTAAGTCCCTCCCCGCACGCCGGCTCCAGGACTGTTCGGAAGCAGCTCCCAGTGTTTTCAGCAGTGAATAATGCCCATGAATAAGGAACCCAAACAGAACAACAAATAACGTTTCCTCATGCGCTCTCGGCTGCCAAAGGAGAAGTGTGGGCAAGACTGACTCAGCTCCCGAGGGCAGTGAATCAGAGAGAAATGCCCCTCAAAGGGCGACTTCTGCCTGGGTGATGAAGCGAGAGGGAGCAGAGGTGGACTTTGCTTAGGGCCCGAGATGGGGACTTTGGACATGAGCCTCCTTCCGACCCTCCCGACGGGGATTCCTCAGTAAGTTGCTGATCTTGCCCTTTGTCTTCCTATGTGTAAGTCTGAGATAATCTGTTCTTCCCTTTCTTCTTCTCTCTGTCCATCCAGCTGTGACTTGGGTTAGGGACTGTCCGGTTCCTGTACAGCAGGGCCCTCATTTCTAGGCTGAAGGTTCTGTACAGCAAATGAATGGTAGGAGCACTATAGACAGTCCTGATGTATCTGAAGGACAGAGACATTGGTAATGGCAACCACCTCACCTGACATTAGGGACCTATAGTACACCAAAACTGCCTTATTTTTGAGCCAGGCTTCATAAGGCAAAGAGCATCCTCGTGTTTCCAGTCCCCCTGCTCCAGGAACTTCAGAACCAGCTGACTTGATACAACCAAGTTGGATGGAAAGACAGGTCTCACAGACCCAAGATTCTTGAAATTGTCATGAAAAACCAGCAGCTGGGTAGAAGAGAGACATTTGAGTTAATATCCTCCTGAAGGAAAGGGGATTACACCTCTTGCTCCCTGTCTATTTTGAGATGCAGCAGCCAAGTGGTCAGTTGGTACCTGCCTAGCTTCAGACCAGCTCCTGTACTCTCTGCCCCTTGCCTGCAAAGCAAGAAGCTGTTGAAACAGCTTTGCTGGGGAGGTCTGAAAGGGATACGGATGCCCTGGGGATGTTACAGTGAGCTTGGAGCACCAAGAGAGGAGGAAATAAGAAGCAGTTGTAACACACAAATCAGGGGAGAACAGGTTTCACCGGTTTCCTGCTCACAGAACAACTCGATTTTTAGGTTCAAACTTATTTTCAGGACAAAATGGGTGCTTCTCTAACAACTACAGTACTTTCCCCAGGGAATTTTAATGGCCAGCAAATGTCTTCCCAATGTCCCCAGACCTGCACTTTCTGGTTTTCAAGTGAAAAACGTGCCTCTCTGGACCTGTTTTTGGCAATGAGAAGACATTTGATTCCTTTTCCACCAAAAGCATCCGAAGAAATGCTATGGAAAAATGGGAGTTTCTCATTTCCCTTTGCTTTCTTTTTTTTTTTTTTTTCCCAGGAACAAAACTATTTCCCCAAGTACTTCCTTGGGCTTTGCACACAAAGAGATCCTAAGACAGCTGAAGACCTTTGGGTCGGAGCACTGAGATGGACGCAGCGGGATGGGACTGAGCATGGGAAGAAGGAATGTGCCTTCCCAAGGTCACCCAGCGAGGCAGGCACCCAGTGGGCAGCGCTGGAGCTGTTGGCTCAGCGTTTCTGCTTCTTGACCCTGCCTCCGTGCCTTTGTCTGGCCTGAAACAAGGAGTTTCCTGGAGCAGAGCCAGGACGTTGCTGAGTGCTTGGAAAGTGCCTGGCGCAGCCCGAGGTGCAGTCATAAATAATAATTAAAATGATAATAGCATTATTAAAGTGGAGGCGTGCCACTGAGGATGGGACCCGCTCAGCAACAGACCTAAACCTCTGCCCCTCTCCTAGTAAATGGCCCAGTTTGCCTCGCAAAGCCTGGGAGACCAGGATTTACTTCTCTGGAGCTGCCAATCACAGCAAAGGCAAAATGACCCGAGCTGAATTAGGTCTGGTGTCTTCTCCAAGACCTCATCCCTGTTGCTGGCAGCTCTGGAAGGCTCTTTGCGGCTCAGGGGATGTGGGAAGAGTTATGTTAACTGGGGGGGGGGAGCTGCCTGGACTAATGTTTTTGTCAGAGATAGGCCCTGATTGACACTTGAAATCTGCCTGACAATCTCTTATTCTAAGTGCAGTTGTGGCCTTTCCTCCGAGCAGGAGGAGCTGGGTTGGTTGCTGTCCTTCAACTGATGGATCTTATCATATAGGAAAAAGAAGGAGGAAGGAAAGAAAGGCAAACCACGTGGAAACAGCCACAGGTACAGCATAAAGAGAGGTAAAACTCACTGGATCTGTTTGAGGTAGTTCTTTTTCTCTCTATGCCGTAACCCAATGCAAGGTAGATGAGAAAAGAGGCAATGCCCTGAGGAACAAGAACGGACTTCCTTCACTTGACTGTTCATTATGTTGTTGTTTCCCTTCAAGAGACTGTTTCATGCTTTGCAGATAGGACTGGGCCTGGGAAGTCAGTGGGACAACCTCTGGTACTCGCTTGTTCTACATGGCCTCTTCTGCCTGTCCTCCCCCAGCTGCCTCTTCCTCCTTAGTTTCAGGTACCCTCAGTGCTTGCTAAACGCTCCACACCACACTCGAGTGCTCTGAGAAGAGGTGACAGCCCCTCTTTACAATGTAATTTAGACATTTGGGCTTTACCTGAGTCTGGCCAACACGAAGGTCAGGTCTCCAAATGAGCAGAGACATGCTCTGAATCCTCTTGTGGACACAGGCTTAGGTGGCAAAATGGATCTCTTATTCGAGATGTCCTCATCCAAGCCCATCCAAAACCATCCAGGCTCTTTAGACTGCAGAGTATAGAGGTGATGGTGTACGTCCAAATACCAGGAAAGGTGCTGCTAGTAAGAACTGCTCTGAAATGGATGTTTCCCTTGTTCTCTGTGAACACAGGTGTGGACAAGGCCGAAGACCAAAGCTAAAAGGTGCTTGAGCTCCTGTCTGCATGCCAGCCTCAGTGTATTGCGAGATGGAGACGCCTGCAACTTCGCACGCTGTACTATGGATGGGATTTCTTCTTCATCTTTGGGATCCTGCTGTTGATGGGGCATCCCGGACAGGATTACTGACAGCGCTGCCCTCCTCCTCCACCTCAGAGCTGCAGCCAGGCAGCTCCTTCTCTTCAGCTTCACAAGACAAGCCCAGGCAGGCCACCTCCAGCAGCTGCTGTGCTTCAGCAGGGCAGCTCAGGCTCAGGCATGTTCCCGTGGCTCTTCTCCAATCCCCAAGTCACGGGTGCATGGAGTGCTTCAGTTTCCAGGGCCATCAGCCTGGCAGCTCTCCTCAGCACTGAATTTACTCTGTAAAGTTACATCAGTGTTCTGCCCCACGGGAATGGGGGAACAGATGTAGCCTCTGAAGTCTGCCTTTAATTCACCTGCTTCATTGCATTTCCTGCCCTGCCTTCTGATCCATGAGCCTGCACTGGCGGTCCAGGGAACACAGAGGGATTCTCGTATGCAGGCGAATCCAGTGGTGAGCTCTCAGGGCTCGAGCAGGCTGTGGCACATCTCCCTTGAGGCTGCTTCACTATGGGTAACCCTCCCGCAGCAGCACTTGCACACACTCCCCAAGCCATGGCAGCTGCACCACATTTCCTTGCACAGGGCTGTGCCACCTCAGCCCCTCTTAGGCTACTGCACGGCATTCCCTCCTGGAAGTGCTCTCCTTCCAGGTGCTCCTGGTTTTCAGCCACTCGCAGGGCCACGTGCTGCTTTCGGGGGCTCTGGCCCCATGGTGGTTCTGCTGTGCTACCTCCCTCAGGATGCTGAGGCCAAATGCTACCTCCATCAGGATGCTGAGGCCAAATGCTACCTCCAACAGGATGCTGAGGCCAAATGCTACCTCCCAGGGGCTCCCAGCACCATTGTGGGGTGCTCCCTTCTCAAGGCTGATGTTCCCTTCTCGGACCCTCAGGCCATCACATCAAGGACAGCAGCACCGTGTCACCTCGAAGGTGCTTTCAGGACGGCCTCAGCCCCCCGGGGCTATCAGAGAGCCCTGATGAAAGGGTTTCTGGCACTCGTGGCTAAGCAGGCTCCCACTGTCCTGCTCTTTTTGAGCTCACGTTAATTCCAGGCAGTGCTGCTCAGCTGTGTAATAATCCAGTGTCAAAGCCCTGCGGGAGCCAGGGAGGCTGCCTTTGGCTGGTCGCACCTATTTGGTGACATTGCTGCTTTACCTTGCCTATTATAATCTGTATCAGATTGCTCTTTGCCTGCTAAACTGGACAATTAGGAGGCAGTTGTCATGCAAATGGCAAGGCGGAATAAAAACCGTGGGGAACAGCATCAGGAAGAAGTACTTCTGTCAGCTTTTGTTACCGTGGGATGGGTCCTGCTCGGCTCCTGCTCGCTGGGAAGCATCAGGCAGAAGAGAACCTGGTGTGCCTTTGTGTTTTATAGGCAAGAGCTGCGGAGCTGCTCTGTGTAGCACCGCCTCCAGGCGCTCACAGGCCCTGGTAATGTGTCTGTGTGCAAACCCAACAGACAGATTGCCGCCTACACTGGGAATTTGATGATTGCCTTGTTTTTTCCAGGCTCTGGTTTATGTACCGCAGGCCAAAGCCATGGGGTAATTTCCAGGCTTTCTGCACAGGGCTGAGATGCTGTGGGGAGGGAAGCAGAGAGATGCTGGCATTCCGATCTGCCACGTCGGGTGCTCTTCGTACTGACAGCCCTGGAAGCGTGGTGGTGTCAGTGGTGTCGTCGTGGCTGTTCTTGGCATTGTTGTCTTCCCATGCTCGGTGCTAAATGTTGTAAATGAAGAGAAATACCTAAATTTGTGAAGGAATGTAAAGTTCCAGTGGAATTAAACACACAGGAGTCCTGCAAATGCAAATGGAACAGGTATGTCTTCATTTGCAAAGGTAAAGCGATCTGCTGCTGATGTAGCTGCTTTTACTGCCTATCAGCTTTGCATTTCCCCAGGCCCTGGGTAGCAAAGACTCAAAGTGCATGTTTTCATAGCAAAAGCCATGTTTGAGAGCTGGGATGGAATATCCATGCGTATAAACCACTACAGCTGGCAGCCAGGAGGGCAGTGTTTTAAGGGCTAGCTGAGCTCGTACGCAACCTGAGGTCCAGAGGGAGAACGATGCCTCTTCATATCCCATTCTAGAGGACAGCAAGGAACAAGGGTGAGATGCTCTGAAGCCAGACGGATGAGCTGAGTTCAAAGTCTTCCTAGAAGCTATGGCAACATAGCTTGTATGTCTACTCAGAAAAGCCTTTGCTACTACCATAAATGACTCTAAATGGCCTTATTTTCCTGCTAGCAGTGAAATAAACAGCTTCAATGGGAAGGAGTAAATCCATTTGATTGCACATGTTGCTGGGAATAACCCTCTTAGTTATTAGTAATAACCCAATGTATTGCTAGCAGCATGGCCACCAAACCAGACAGCCTTATCTGCCAGAGAATCATTGTATTGCTCCTAACGTTTCCAATTACAGCTGAGCAAGGGAAGTCAGAAGGGCCTCTAGGGAAGAGGCAGAAGGCAACATGGGAAACCTGGGTTATAAACAATGTGTGTGTCAAATGAAATCTATCAGGGCCATTATAGCTTTTGAGGGAGATTTCTGGCAGGTAAAGCTGAGCTCCTTCTGCTCCCGACTTTCTTCTAAGCTAACACATGGTAGTTCCCAGTTAGGTTGTGAGATGATGGAGGTATTTGGTTGTTAGCTCACCTTCTGAAGGGAAGAGGGGCTTCTACACCTTGTGTGTGTGAAGGTGTCAAGCCTGGGGCTCCAGTAGAGGACTTAGATGAAAATCCTCCCTTGCTATCAATGGCAAAGACCTGATCCCTTCACTGTGGCAGAGGTGTTCTCACATGGCAGTGCCCTGGGAGCTTCTCACTTGGAATAGACCAGATTCTCCTCTCATTTATGCCATTAGAGATCCAGAGTAGCTCCATCTGAAACAACTGTTTTCATCCAATGCAAATGAGATCAAGATCTGGCCCAGGCTGTTTTTGTACACAATGGAAAACGACTGAATTATGGAAAACAGGAAACAAATCTAATGTAAATCTAAATGGAAATATCATGCTCGCTGTTACATCAGAATAAATTGGAAGCAAGTCTGTTGATTCTAATGGAATTCATCTGGATTTACACCAGACTGTGGCTCAGCATTTGTCAGTTGGCTGCACACCGACATCGAAACGCAAACCATGCTCCCTCATCTGAATAGCTTTGAACAATTTCTCCCTTTTCCTTTACATTTAAGCAATTGCCTCTGCATCCTGATAGCTGATTAGCCTTTTCAAACAAATAAACCCCTGCAAACAGACATCAACAAACGAGCCCTGCTGTCGCTAGCGTTTTCACCATCTAAAGGAGGAATGGGAAGTCTTAGAGTCCCTTAAACTTGCTCCTGTTCCTCTGTGTTCACAATGTGGAGCGGTAGGATGGAGCTCGCGGCAGGACAGACCTTAGCAATGACTATTCTGAGTTCCCCAAAGCACATCAAATTCGTTGCCTCCCCACCAGCAGTGGTCAGGGCCAGCTATTTCCTAAGGATGCACAGGAGACCTTTCAGTAGATAAGCAAATTATTGTCATACTTCCACCCTTGCTGTGCTCAGTCAGATGGGCAGAACGGAGCCATAACCCTCCCAGATAGATCTGATGGAAAACTGTGGCATGCTCTGTTCCTGTAGGCAAGCTCCTGCACTGCTCTGTGCCACCATGCAGCAATCTGACTGCCTGGGTGAGGGCTCTGGGGTGAGCACAGTGAGGAAGAGCACAGCCACGTCAGCCCCTTCCCTTGGACCGCAGTTACCCAGCTGCTTGCACAACTGAGTTCTTAATCTGTGCTCATCTTTGGCTGATGAGTAAAGTGCCAGTGGTTTTCTGGGGGACCCTCAGGACGTCATGGGCAACATTTTCCCAAGTGGCCCCTGTCTATGGTTGCTTTAATGCGTACACATTCAGCCCGAGACATGCGCAATCACCCTTTGCTGGCCCCGTAGCAACAAAGCACACACAGATCTCAAGGAGCATCTGACTGGCCCAGCCACTGCCTCTCAGTCCTTATGTTGCCATCTGTGAATTGTGATAATAAATACTTTCCTGATTTTATAAAGCTATTAAAGTCTCACTAATGAAACAGAGGTTTTCAAAGAGCTGTGATCATTATGGCTTACTCTTGCTTAGGCTTATTCCTGCAGGTCAGCTTAATTTGGGAGAGCTTTCACAATCCCAGTGCTGCAGCCCCTGTGTGCAAGGCAATGGCTTGGAATCTTGTTTCTGCCCTTTACAGCATCACCTGGGATAAACGCCTGCAGCCAGGCTGCGCCTGACAGTGGTGGTGTTGATGCACAGACAAAAGCTCCAGCGTACTCCTTGCTCACAGCCTCCGTAACTCTGCCAGGGACCACAGGCTTATTTCACCCATGTTGGTGAAGCTGGCGTGTGTGAACTGGAAGCAAAGAGAAAGCAGAAATGAGAAGTAACTGGGTCCTAGCCCAGTCACAGCTCTCTGCAGGCGTGCACCATGCTGAGTCATGAGCAGAACTGGACAGGGAAGGAGGTAACCTGGGGGAAGCAGCTGAAGTCAGTTTGCCAAGCTCCTTGGAGAGCCTCAGCAGCATCACTGCTCTTTACTCACTGCCTGTAAATGACCCCAGTGCACAAGCAAACAAAGCCTCTATTGAGGTGGGTGTATCAGGGCCACCAAATACATAGTCCAAAGAAAGTCACAGTTGCAGAGGCATTTTCTGCTCCAGCAATACAAGGCGATAAGGGACAGTTATTTGCTTTTACAGGAATAAAACTCTTCAGGCAAGCACCTTAAAAGTGGGAATACTTGTAACTTACTGTCCCTCCTGTGCAGTGGGGAATCAGGCTGAAGCTTGCAGCTACAACCCTCAGCTATAAACGCTGTGGACTGGACTGTGCTGTGCAGAGCTTTGCTGACAGACACTGATTTCAGCAAGGCTTTCCCCAGGGTATGCACTGCTTTGTGTGAGCCTGGATGTGAGATCCTCTGCTTGATTCTCATCTGACTTTTGGTGGGGAGATGCCCGACTTGCTGTAATGTGCACGTAATGTGGCTTCAAGAGCTGATAC